TGATAGTGTTCTAAATATTTTATTTGAAAGAAGTTACAAATGCCTCAACAATGACCAAATAACAGGGTGGTCTTCTTACTCTGTTATGGGACACTATTGATGGCTAAGAGAATGTATCAACTATCTTTGAAGAGAGCAAAGGTCAAAGTATGTGGCAAATACAATTCATTGCATCTTAGTCTTCTTCAATATATAAAGACCGCTCTTCATAGAACTTGTTCCTAAAAGAGGAGGTAATATCATGGATATATACATTTATTCTAATAGTTACTTATATAATTAAGTAGGTAAATATAGATTAATTTCATAAATTCTTCTAAAGAAGCTTCTTAAAAGCTTTATAGATGCGATTTTGATTTTAGATGTATATATAGGATAGAAACTTAGACAACAAGTTAACCACGTATTGATAGCTTATAGAACAAGTTAACTCCATGTAGTAGCTTATAAAACAAGCTAACTATGTGGTACATACATATATAATTTGCCTTGCAAGTTAAAACATGTGGCTAGCAAAGTCAACACGTTTTGGAGGTCCTATAGGACATTGCTACATAGATCCTAGTTAAGAGTATATATAGAGGCAAGAATGAAGTCTTCTTCACTCTTATCAATGCCTTCTTAGTCTTTAGTCTTATTCCAAGACTTTCTAGGTTTCTTGCCGTTGGCAATAGTCATTCTAGTTCAATAATATATCATCTTTGAGTGACTTTCTAATTCTTTTCAGTGATTTAAGAATGCATTGAGGATTTTTTTTTCCAAGATTCATGTCTTTGACAATCATATACATAGACTACAAATAATAATAATAATAATAATAATAATAATAATAATAATAATAATAATCATAATTAACAATTAAAATATTTAAAGAAAAGAAAGAAAAAATAGAAAAAAAAGTTCACTTATAAGTTCTTGATTAAAGAATTTGGTGAAAGACATAGATTCTAGTAGTGAAGAAGATTAAAATTCAATAAATATTGAAAATAACAATAAATAAGAAAGAATAAGTCTTTTCTTTATAAAAAAGTTTTTGGATTAACTTACACCAATTCAACTACATCCAATTATAAGTACATGACTAAGAATTTTTTTGATACAACCTTCTATTTTACTTATACTATTATAATAAAAGGCATCAGTTAATATGGCATTTATAATGAGACATACCAAAGTTATACTCCTTAAGTTTAAAAGCAAGGATGATTTGGATATCTATATAAGAAAAATTAATATTGTTTGTCAAGCCAACAAAGAAACAATAGATAAAAAAAAAAAGTTGATTTTTTTTTTAATTTCATTCAAGAAGCCAATAATTAAGTGTTATGTTTAATATTCTATAAGATACTTTATTATTTGGAGAAAGTTTTGGGATGCATTCATTATTTTATCTAATGAAAAAGAAAATGATAGAAAAGTCATTGATAATCTCTTATACCTCAAACAAAAGAAAAGTGAAGTTGTAAAAGAATTTTTTGAATAAGTAATTTAGACAACTAATAAATTTCTTTCCCAAATTTAATTTTTTTAAAAAAAATATAGTTTTTAAATGGATTAAAGAAGAGAGTTAGTAAATATATAACATTATTACTAATTGATACATTAAAAAAACTTTACAGTCAATAAAGAAGATAGAACTAAGTATACATAAAATAAATAAATAAATAAATAAATATATAACTTAAACTTTGAAGTCTCAAATAATAATTCATATGAAGAAAAAAAAGAAGAAAGTAAAAAAAATGGTATAAAATAAAACTAAAGAGGATCTAAAAGAATTAAAAAAAAATAGATAATTTAATAAATAATTAGATCAAAGATATTTATGAATAGAATAGTTTGTTGCAAGTGCAATAACAAAGGATGATTTTTTTCAAAATTTTTATTTAAATTTTGCACCAATTTTAATACTTATACTCATTAAACTAAAAATTGAATGTATAATTGATATTACTAAGATAGACGCATAAAAGTTAATAAAGCACGATAATAGTTAAATAACATGATGAGAAGAGAATCAATAAAAAATTACCTACTTATAAATAAATATAGGACTTAAGGATCCTCTAATCAATAATATTATAGGAAGGAAGAATAAACAAGAACCAATAATTATAAAAAAGAAGATAAATATCCTTAATAGAAATTATATAACCATAATTACCATAAAGATAGGATGAAGCTAATATATGAATGAAGCTATGAAAGGCATAAGAATATCAAATTCACATAAGAAGTGTTAGCTCAAACATGTACAAAGAAAATGAAAGAATCAATAAAATTAAAATAATAATAATAAAAAAAAAACAACACAATTTCAGTTTGGTATTGTGAAATAAAATAAATTGAATGATAAAAAAGAAGAGTTGTTGGATACAATGGGTTTATAGAGTTTTGTATAAGTAGTCAATTGGAAGAAGAAGATACAAAAGACTTCAATAAAGGAAGTATTTTTTAACATAAAAGAAGATAATTGTAGTAGTATAATAAAAAAAAATATTACAATTTTATCCTTTTGAATCACAATCCACTCTATGAAATAACTTTTCATTTCCAAGAAGTATATAGTACAATTGTATATGTTAAGAAATTTTTTATTCTTTATCTTTTGTAAAAAAAAGAATGATAAGGCTATCAACCTAAATATTTCTATTTACAATTTGGAAATAGCTAGACATATTATTTGATTTCTATGTGCTACTCTATATTTCCAAAGAAGAACTACACATGCTTATACACCATTAATTTAGTAGATGTAAAGAGCTTCAAATGGCAAGTAAGTGAATTCACCTTTCATCTCAAAGGATAATTTAAAATTAAAATTATAAAGAATTCAAGTAAAGCAAAAGAAGATTCATTGAAGTATTATTCAAATTATTGTAGCAACATACTTCAATTGTCAATATCAAAAATATAAAAGTATAGATAATATAAATACTTCAAAGATAGTCAATTATGGAAAAAAAAAAAAAAAAAACTCAATACATGATTTAAAGAGAAAGAATATAACATCTACATCAATTTCTACTATTGCTACTATAATAATAAATAAGATAGATAAATGTGATGCAAACATTGTCCAACATTATAAAACAAAAAAATAGAGTTCAACAACAAAGTTGATTATATAATAGATCTTTCAATATAGAAAGAAGTTTTAACTATTCTATTTTTAAAATATAAGATATATTAGTAGGATAGGATAATATTTTTAATAAATTAAATAAAAGAAAAAATATTGATAAAATTACTATTTTGGACATGACAAATACATAAAAAATAAGAAAGATAATATTTGGCATAGTTATCACAACAATACATTTAAAAGAGGATCAAAAGACATCAACATTGAATCAAATACAGAAGACTTCACCAAAGAATAATGAATTAAAAGATATTACATGTGCAACAAAAAGAAGTACAACAAATAATAGACAGAGAGACTTCCATCAATACAAATAATTCAAATACAAGAGATCGTACATAATATTTATAATTATAATACTACACTAAATAGACTATAATAAAGCAAGAAATGAGAATGATATACAAAATTAAATAATGAATACAAGATGAATAAAGTCAAGTATCACAAAGTTATTAGCAAAAAAAAAATGATCTTAAAATGGTGAAAAAAACATAGTAAAGAAGTAACAACATCAGTTTAAGAAGAAGTTCTAAATTTTTCTTACTATTGGTTAAAAAGAATTTATCTTCTTAACAAAATTCTTTCAACTTCAACTTAGTTTTTACAACTTCTATTTACTTAGATAAATTTCAAATCCACTAAAACTTGTCTTTAGATTTTTAATTAATTTTTTAGTAGATTCTAATTTTTTTTAAAACTACCTACAGATTAGATATATTTCTTTTAAATTACTTTTGTATTTTATTTCTCTATGAAGTCTTTAAAATGTTTGGTCCTTCCAACACAATTTGTAGAAACTAACAATGCTTGGGCTTATTTTGATAGTAACCACAATTTTGTTTTTATGCCAATATAATCAAATCAAAAAATTGATTATTGGGTGATTTAATAATATCTTATTCCATTCAACATAATGCAATAATACACTATTTTGTGCAAATGCCAAATTACTAATATATATTCTAAACAATCTTATCATGACTTCAATACCATTCCTATAGTTGTTTCAAAAATATTTAAAATGTTTGTCAAAACTAAAATTGTCTTCTAATTCAAACCATGTTTTAAAATGTGATTTTCTAAACTACAATTATTTTCCAATTAGGTGTGGATTGTGTCTACAAATTAATCATACAATGAGATTACAAATGTTTCCATGACTTCAAACAAAAACATTTTATCAGATTTCAGCTAAAACACAACTGACACATCTTGGCAATAAATGGGCAGCATTCTCCTCTCAGCAACAGATATTGGGATAAAAGAAAGCGTGGCAAATCCGAAAAGCAACACCAAAGCAAAGGTTGACAAAGATGGATTCATGTTGGTAAAACATCAAAGGAAGCAAGGGGGCTCTACACACACCATGGAGGTACTCTGAGACTGCACACACCATGCCCACACACAGGTGGTTGCCAAAGCTGTATGCCAATGAGGCTAACGAACAATATGTCAACGGTAACTTCCACTGATAAAATGACAGCGCTAAGGTTTGTAGCAGTGCAAGAAGCGGCTCATTATCCTACTGCTACAAAAAAAAAACCGTGAGAGGGACACAAAATACAGGAAGTAGTTTTCTTGTGATATGGACCAAGGCAAGGTCACTCACAGCATTACACCCCGACATGCACCAAGATCAAAATCACGTGAATGCGCTATACAATAAAAATCACAATCAAAAATTGAAAAAGTACAATCACGAAGATGACACGAGTCCACGTAACAAACCACAAAAAACATCACTACACACAAAAACTAGTTTCCGAAGAAAGAACAAATGTGTGCACGCTGAGCTCTCTATCCCAAATGAAACAAAGAGAGCAGAAATTGAAAACGGCATAAGCAGAGTGTGTTCTACAGGAGACTGAATAAATTTATTGTGCGAAGAATACATAGCCCAATTGGGCCCTCATAGTCTTTCAAGGCCCACTTCTTGGTTGACTCCAGGGGACCTTGGAAAAAAGACTATCACCGCCACTCACGCATATTGTTCATGCAGCTGCGGTATCTAAATTATTCAACCCGGTCCATCGATAGACTCACTGTATAAGAGACTTCCTAGTCTAGAACTAATGGACTTCATACACAATGGACGACCTTCAACCTCGCCTCGTGTTGGACTTCAATCTCACCTCGTCAGTGAAGTCTTGCTTTATTCAGTTAACTACCGCCGTGGCAGCAGGACAACGCACGGCCCACCTTTATTGTCTCTGAATACAATAACCGATTCTTCTTGGACTTTCGATCGCCCCATGTGCCACATCAGTGCTCAATTTGTAAAGATCCTCACTATCCTCGCATTGATCTAACGAACAATAATCAACACTCCAGAAGCCACCAGGAGACGCTCACCACACCGTCGACACACTCGCAACTCTATCTAGACGTCTACATCGCGATTGTACAACTCCCAGTAACAAGTGCAAGTCCTGGAAGGACTGACACAGAGAAATAATACTTCGATCGACCTATTCACCAGCTCAATGTTCTACACCGAGGTTTAACTTGACTGTGGCAGTCGTCACGAGGGCGCAGTTAATTGTTCTACTTGATCCACACACCCTTGGAGGGAATTTCGTTTTGGACCACAAACAGAAGGTAGTATGCGGGAGGGGCAATGGTATTTTCGGGGACTGCGGTCACCTGCACTGCTCAGCCATTGCCCGCCTTGGTAGGCAACATCGTCTTCAGTTTCATTTGCCTTTGACCCTGCGCAAAGGAGTGCGTCACGTAGGGAGCGCTGTTCATGTTCACCTCCACTACGCCCACTCTTTGGCCCATAGCGAAGTTCACGACGAACACCTGCTTATATTTGATCCGATTGAGATATCCTTGGATGGTAGGCCTTACACCATTGAATCTGAGCATCATCATCAAACAGTCCGTCAAGTTAGCTAAACGTGCACGCTGCAATCATTTTGCATAACCGGACAATGAATGAGAAAGGATAATAAACAAATGTGGAACGTTGAGATCAGAGACTCACCCTGCACCCAAGTAAGGAGGAGAGAACGCCTCAACTCGCAGCTTAGTAGGGTATTATCTATTGTACGTGTAGAACTGGTGGGTTTTGCTTCTGACTAGGAGCACTCTTTCGTCAGCCAGTAAGTTTGCAGTGGAATGATACATGCGGAGAATATTGGTCTTTGCATAGATCTGGAACTGCTTGGTCACGGGGTTGTAGTTCACTGGATTCAAGGCGGGGTTGTTGGCCTTTCCCCATCCCTGATAGCCGTTTTAGGCACCGTTGATGATCAAAATATCTCAGGTTGGCAAGTTGATCATGTCGCCCATAACACGCCGAATTGGCATATTCTGCACAGCCTAGACGGGGTTTTTGGAGCTAGCCACGATTGTCCCACAACTGAACGACATTGGGGCGTTCGCATTTCCAGTATTCGAGGCACCGGCGGCTGCACCTCCACATACCATAATCTGTGCAAACTCGAAACCTATCTGCCATGTCAAGGGAAGCATGACAGCAGATCCAGCAAAAAGATAGTTACGGGGGTTTCCAAGAATTTGAGGATATCCCTTCACGACCTTGCCCGAGTTTCAGTTCAACTGCACGGAATTCCTGTTTGCAAAAACGAAAAGATCTCCGTTCGGCAACAGATACACAAATGGGTAAAGATTGTTATCTCCTCCCAGCATACCCAAGTTGTAGAAGCCTTCTCCGGCTCTCCTCTTGGGATAAAACTCGTAGGAAGGCGTGTTGCGTCCTCCTACAATGATCTGCTGAATACCAGAAGGCAAAAGCTGGTTAGAGGAATACCAACAGCCAGTTACAAGGTTCTCTTCGAGTTCAACCCAGTCACAATTACCTCCAGCGCCGCATGGTTGTAGGGTCCTGATTTTCCTGTTGCCCTCAAAATCACCTCCAGTCTGCACCATCCTTCCATTATTGAAGAACTGTCCCGATGAACACCATGTATCCGTGTACACATACAAAGGGCGGACCTGGTTGTTCCCTGGATTGAACATGATGGAATGCGCATAACAATCAACTTTAGAGATGCGCTCTGCAGGTTGGTTGCGGCAACGACCATTGAGGAGCTTGATGGCGGAGGGTCCTGTGTTGGTATGATCAAGCATGATGACTGTGTTCATGTGCGTGACCACAGTATGCATTGAGGATATACTCGCATTGTTGTTCAAGAGTGCTCAACTGCCCTGGGCCGCCACAAGGTATGCGCATGAGAACAGGCATTGCAGTGTTACCAAAACTACAAGAGTGGTTTTTGACAACCCTATTGTCCACGTCTCACCTGGAAAACTTTGAACTCAAGACTGAAATGCCACGTTAATCAAACAGAACTATCTTCTTCACCATAACAAACATATACTGAACAATGCATGCACGAACATTGATATCACTAATCAAGCAATAATTTAGATGAGATGGAACAAGATGATAACAAATTCGATCCTAACTCTATAACTACAACTTATAATCCAGTGACGGTATCGTTAATCATGAAAATCCTAGGTGCATGAAATTCGACACACATGCAGTCAGTGCTAAAGCATTGGGAAGCCCTCCTGCCTCTGCAAAGCTGGCCGAGTAGTGATGATCGGCAGGGCAATTGATCATTTGTAGTGCTGCCTTGTTGAAAGCCAAGTGAACGTTGCAACCCTCCCAGACAGCAGGGTCGATGGTGAGGCATCTGTTTTTAGCCATTCCTACACATGCGATGAGCTGTGGTAATATTGCAAAGTCAATTAGTGGACTATAGTGGCACTGGAGTTGTGAAATTTCACATAAACAATCTAACAGTACCTGTGGCTCATTCGGTTACCAATGTTAACGTTGTCGTTTGCATCTGTGTCGGTAAAGGGAGTTGACTTTGGTGAGACTAGGAAGTCATGGAGCCATCTGTTTGATTGCTAAAAATAGAGATTGTCACAGGAAGTCATGGAGCCATCTGTTTGATTGCTAAAAGCAGAGATTGTCACAGGAAGTCACTGAGCCATCTGATTGATTGCTAAAAGCAGAGATTGTCACAGCTCTCCTAATCTAATCCACAGATGCTCTAATCTCTTAACCATGGCAATAGACTTGTATCATATTACCTAACCCAAGAAATGATTCCTAAGATTATTTCAACTACGATGTTTAAGTCATAGATGAGAAGAAACATTGTTGTATGTTCTTTTTTGTCAAAGGATACAAATCAAACAATGTCTTATGGCTGATTGGAAATTACACATACAACATTCTACACAATTCCTTAGGCATGTAAGGTCAATATAATCATTTTTTTTTTTTGCAATAATAATTGTTTACTTTGTTGGTCATTCTTTTTTGTCAAAGGATACAAATCAAACAATGTCTTATGGCTGATTGGAAATCACACATATCCTAATTTTTTATTTTAATTTTAATTCAAGTGTATTTCATAGAAAATCTCATATATATAAAAATGGATATAATAAAAATAGTTGTCATATTTTTATAAATTCAAATTTTTATTTTAATTATGCTTTTATTTAGGTGTGATTATTTCATTAAAAATAGAAGTCTTTACTTTAATTAGGTTTATGCCAAAAAAATTGGTTGAATGATTTAAAGATTACAATCAATATAGACTATAATTCTTCAATTTCCATTTGTAATCTATTTTCAAGAAAAGATGGCCATAAGTAAGTCACAATTTGAATTACAAACTCTCTTTTAAGATGCAAATGCATATGAAAGTAGCAATCAAAATTTACATTGAATTTCTTCATAAAAGACCTTAAATAATTAAAAATTAGATTTAAACCAACCACATTGTGCTCTTATTGTAAGAAAATATGGCATTGGAATTGCAATTATTTAAAAAATATGTCTAAAGTTGCTGCAAATTCTATAGCTATTTTTTATAATAGCATGAAGTTAAAATTGACTTCAAAATCAAATATTTTTGAAGAAATATTTATTGCATTCTATGCACATATATTTCTCATACATACAAATTACTCGAAGAAGTCATTATAGTTTGGAGCGACAAAAGAAGAAAAATTATTTTTAAATACAAAAGCTATACACCACTTAGCAATAATTTACTAATTTTGAATCATTTTCATTTAATGAGAGTGAAGTTTATCTTAACAATGACACTACATTTTGTATATACAAATAAGGTGAGGTAGAAATCTATATGGTGAATGATCACACCATTTGGTTTACAATATACTTTATATCTTAAATATATAAAATAATCTATTTTTAATAAGTGACTACAATCAATAAGGTGGCAAAATCTTCTTAAAATATCAAATTTGTCACCTTCTAACTAGTGGCAATACTACTCTAGCTGAATGTCTCTAAGTCAACTTATATATGTTAGAAAAAATTGTAGTATATGTTTAATATATTAATGCTAATTCTTTTATCACACCAATTAGAGATACAATACACATGCTAATCAAATCATTCAACCGAGTCACACTTATCCACAAGATTGTCTTATGACATATTCAAATTTTGAATCCACATTAATAAGTTGAAGCTAGTATCTCTTTGTTTTAAAGCTTGTAATGATTTCTATCACAATCTACAGCTTGATGTCACTACATCTACTTGTGCATATACCAAGCTATGTCCTTTATGACAAATAAGTATATATAAAAGAACAACAAATATAATTTAAATAATTATACCTAACCTAGCTATGGCACAATATTATCAAAAATCACAAGCTCCATAATTTTATGTGGTTATTTTCTTTGAAATTACTAAATCCACCACTTTCAAGCCATACCCTAATTTCAATTCTTGATCTTTGCGCTTATTTAGATCTACTTCTAATATTGTAGCAAACTCCATCTCATAATATTATCCAGTATTGTCACTCAAAAAAAGGTGTCAAATAGACCGCTATTAAAAATTACTTCTTTAAGCTACCTCCCATTTGAGTTCACTTCACTACTTATGGAAAACATATCTACTTACATCATTGTTGATTATCACATATAGGTATAAATTAACTTAAAGTACTTATATAAAGTATTCTCATCATAAGAATTTTTATTAGTAAAGTGTCTTATAACATGAAATCAACATGTTTTTAAAGAAAAAAATCTACTAAAAAGATCCCCAAGTTAGCTATACTTTGAATTGCAGATAAATTTGAGCTAGTTCACTAAAAACTTAGTGCCTAAGTTGCAACTTCAACTTTCTTTGATTTTGGATAATAAATAATCTTCACTAACAACTATTCTTACTATATAATAAATTGCTTACTCTAAAAAAAATAAAAAATAAAAAAAATAAGTATAATTCAATCTTCAAAACACAAAATCTTCAATCTCACCTCGTCAGTGAAGTCTTGCTTTATTCAGTTAACTACCGCCGTGGCAGCAGGACAACGCACGGCCCACCTTTATTGTCTCTGAATACAATAACCGATTCTTCTTGGACTTTCGATCGCCCCATGTGCCACATCAGTGCTCAATTTGCAAAGATCCCCACTATCCTCGCATTGATCTAACGAACAATAATCAACACTCCAGAAGCCACCAGGAGACGCTCACCACACCGTCGACACACTCGTAACTCTATCTAGACGTCTACATCGCGATTGTACAACTCCCAGTAACAAGTGCAAGTCCTGGAAGGACTGACACAGAGAAATAATACTTCGATCGACCTATTCACCAGCTCAATGTTCTACACCGAGGTTTAACTTGACTGTGGCAGTCGTCACGAGGGCGCAGTTAATTGTTCTACTTGATCCACACACCCTTGGAGGGAATTTCGTTTTGGACCACAAACAGAAGGTAGTATGCGGGAGGGGCAATGGTATTTTCGGGGACTGCGGTCACCTGCACTGCTCAGCCATTGCCCGCCTTGGTAGGCAACATCGTCTTCAGTTTCATTTGCCTTTGACCCTGCGCAAAGGAGTGCGTCACGTAGGGAGCGCTGTTCATGTTCACCTCCACTACGCCCACTCTTTGGCCCATAGCGAAGTTCACGACGAACACCTGCTTATATTTGATCCGATTGAGATATCCTTGGATGGCAAGCCTTACACCATTGAATCTGAGCATCATCATCAAACAGTCCGTCAAGTTAGCTAAACGTGCACGCTGCAATCATTTTGCATAACCGGACAATGAATGAGAAAGGATAATAAACAAATGTGGAACGTTGAGATCAGAGACTCACCCTGCACCCAAGTAAGGAGGAGAGAACGCCTCAACTTGCAGCTTAGTAGGGTATTATCTATTGTACGTGTAGAACTGGTGGGTTTTGCTTCTGACTAGGAGCACTCTTTCGTCAGCCAGTAAGTTTGCAGTGGAATGATACATGCGGAGAATATTGGTCTTTGCATAGATCTGGAACTGCTTGGTCACGGGGTTGTAGTTCACTGGATTCAAGGCGGGGTTGTTGGCCTTTCCCCATCCCTGATAGCCGTTTTAGGCACCGTTGATGATCAAAATATCTCAGGTTGGCAAGTTGATCATGTCGCCCATAACACGCCGAATTGGCATATTCTGCACAGCCTAGACGGGGTTTTTGGAGCTAGCCACGATTGTCCCACAACTGAACGACATTGGGGCGTTCGCATTTCCAGTATTCGAGGCACCGGCGGCTGCACCTCCACATACCATAATCTGTGCAAACTCGAAACCTATCTGCCATGTCAAGGGAAGCATGACAGCAGATCCAGCAAAAAGATAGTTACGGGGGTTTCCAAGAATTTGAGGATATCCCTTCACGACCTTGCCCGAGTTTCAGTTCAACTGCACGGAATTCCTGTTTGCAAAAACGAAAAGATCTCCGTTCGGCAACAGATACACAAATGGGTAAAGATTGTTATCTCCTCCCAGCATACCCAAGTTGTAGAAGCCTTCTCCGGCTCTCCTCTTGGGATAAAACTCGTAGGAAGGCGTGTTGCGTCCTCCTACAATGATCTGCTGAATACCAGAAGGCAAAAGCTGGTTAGAGGAATACCAACAGCCAGTTACAAGGTTCTCTTCGAGTTCAACCCAGTCACAATTACCTCCAGCGCCGCATGGTTGTAGGGTCCTGATTTTCCTGTTGCCCTCAAAATCACCTCCAGTCTGCACCATCCTTCCATTATTGAAGAACTGTCCCGATGAACACCATGTATCCGTGTACACATACAAAGGGCGGACCTGGTTGTTCCCTGGATTGAACATGATGGAATGCGCATAACAATCAACTTTAGAGATGCGCTCTGCAGGTTGGTTGCGGCAACGACCATTGAGGAGCTTGATGGCGGAGGGTCCTGTGTTGGTATGATCAAGCATGATGACTGTGTTCATGTGCGTGACCACAGTATGCATTGAGGATATACTCGCATTGTTGTTCAAGAGTGCCCAACTGCCTTGGGCCGCCACAAGGTATGCGCATGCGCATGACAAGGTGAGATTGAAGATTTTGTGTTTTGAAGATTGAATTATACTTATTTTTTTTATTTTTTATTTTTTTTAGAGTAAGCAATTTATTATATAGTAAGAATAGTTGTTAGTGAAGATTATTTATTATCCAAAATCAAAGAAAGTTGAAGTTGCAACTTAGGCACTAAGTTTTTAGTGAACTAGCTCAAATTTATCTGCAATTCAAAGTATAGCTAACTTGGGGATCTTTTTAGTAGATTTTTTTCTTTAAAAACATGTTGATTTCATGTTATAAGACACTTTACTAATAAAAATTCTTATGATGAGAATACTTTATATAAGTACTTTAAGTTAATTTATACCTATATGTGATAATCAACAATGATGTAAGTAGATATGTTTTCCATAAGTAGTGAAGTGAACTCAAATGGGAGGTAGCTTAAAGAAGTAATTTTTAATAGCGGTCTATTTGACACCTTTTTTTGAGTGACAATACTGGATAATATTATGAGATGGAGTTTGCTACAATATTAGAAGTAGATCTAAATAAGCGCAAAGATCAAGAATTGAAATTAGGGTATGGCTTGAAAGTGGTGGATTTAGTAATTTCAAAGAAAATAACCACATAAAATTATGGAGCTTGTGATTTTTGATAATATTGTGCCATAGCTAGGTTAGGTATAATTATTTAAATTATATTTGTTGTTCTTTTATATATACTTATTTGTCATAAAGGACATAGCTTGGTATATGCACAAGTAGATGTAGTGACATCAAGCTGTAGATTGTGATAGAAATCATTACAAGCTTTAAAACAAAGAGATACTAGCTTCAACTTATTAATGTGGATTCAAAATTTGAATATGTCATAAGACAATCTTGTGGATAAGTGTGACTCGGTTGAATGATTTGATTAGCATGTGTATTGTATCTCTAATTGGTGTGATAAAAGAATTAGCATTAATATATTAAACATATACTACAATTTTTTCTAACATATATAAGTTGACTTAGAGACATTCAGCTAGAGTAGTATTGCCACTAGTTAGAAGGTGACAAATTTGATATTTTAAGAAGATTTTGCCACCTTATTGATTGTAGTCACTTATTAAAAATAGATTATTTTATATATTTAAGATATAAAGTATATTGTAAACCAAATGGTGTGATCATTCACCATATAGATTTCTACCTCACCTTATTTGTATATACAAAATGTAGTGTCATTGTTAAGATAAACTTCACTCTCATTAAATGAAAATGATTCAAAATTAGTAAATTATTGCTAAGTGGTGTATAGCTTTTGTATTTAAAAATAATTTTTCTTCTTTTGTCGCTCCAAACTATAATGACTTCTTCGAGTAATTTGTATGTATGAGAAATATATGTGCATAGAATGCAATAAATATTTCTTCAAAAATATTTGATTTTGAAGTCAATTTTAACTTCATGCTATTATAAAAAATAGCTATAGAATTTGCAGCAACTTTAGACATATTTTTTAAATAATTGCAATTCCAATGCCATATTTTCTTACAATAAGAGCACAATGTGGTTGGTTTAAATCTAATTTTTAATTATTTAAGGTCTTTTATGAAGAAATTCAATGTAAATTTTGATTGCTACTTTCATATGCATTTGCATCTTAAAAGAGAGTTTGTAATTCAAATTGTGACTTACTTATGGCCATCTTTTCTTGAAAATAGATTACAAATGGAAATTGAAGAATTATAGTCTATATTGATTGTAATCTTTAAATCATTCAACCAATTTTTTTGGCATAAACCTAATTAAAGTAAAGACTTCTATTTTTAATGAAATAATCACACCTAAATAAAAGCATAATTAAAATAAAAATTTGAATTTATAAAAATATGACAACTATTTTTATTATATCCATTTTTATATATATGAGATTTTCTATGAAATACACTTGAATTAAAATTAAAATAAAAAATTAGGATATGTGTGATTTCCAATCAGCCATAAGACATTGTTTGATTTGTATCCTTTGACAAAAAAGAATGACCAACAAAGTAAACAATTATTATTGCAAAAAAAAAAAATGATTATATTGACCTTACATGCCTAAGGAATTGTGTAGAATGTTGTATGTGTAATTTCCAATCAGCCATAAGACATTGTTTGATTTGTATCCTTTGACAAAAAAGAACATACAACAATGTTTCTTCTCATCTATGACTTAAACATCGTAGTTGAAATAATCTTAGGAATCATTTCTTGGGTTAGGTAATATGATACAAGTCTATTGCCATGGTTAAGAGATTAGAGCATCTGTGGATTAGATTAGGAGAGCTGTGACAATCTCTGCTTTTAGCAATCAATCAGATGGCTCAGTGACTTCCTGTGACAATCTCTGCTTTTAGCAATCAAACAGATGGCTCCATGACTTCCTGTGACAATCTCTATTTTTAGCAATCAAACAGATGGCTCCATGACTTCCTAGTCTCACCAAAGTCAACTCCCTTTACCGACACAGATGCAAACGACAACGTTAACATTGGTAACCGAATGAGCCACAGGTACTGTTAGATTGTTTATGTGAAATTTCACAACTCCAGTGCCACTATAGTCCACTAATTGACTTTGCAATATTACCACAGCTCATCGCATGTGTAGGAATGGCTAAAAACAGATGCCTCACCATCGACCCTGCTGTCTGGGAGGGTTGCAACGTTCACTTGGCTTTCAACAAGGCAGCACTACAAATGATCAATTGCCCTGCCGATCATCACTACTCGGCCAGCTTTGCAGAGGCAGGAGGGCTTCCCAATGCTTTAGCACTGACTGCATGTGTGTCGAATTTCATGCACCTAGGATTTTCATGATTAACGATACCGTCACTGGATTATAAGTTGTAGTTATAGAGTTAGGATCGAATTTGTTATCATCTTGTTCCATCTCATCTAAATTATTGCTTGATTAGTGATATCAATGTTCGTGCATGCATTGTTCAGTATATGTTTGTTATGGTGAAGAAGATAGTTCTGTTTGATTAACGTGGCATTTCAGTCTTGAGTTCAAAGTTTTCCAGGTGAGACGTGGACAATAGGGTTGTCAAAAACCACTCTTGTAGTTTTGGTAACACTGCAATGCCTGTTCTCATGCGCATACCTTGTGGCGGCCCAGGGCAGTTGAGCACTCTTGAACAACAATGCGAGTATATCCTCAATGCATACTGTGGTCACGCACATGAACACAGTCATCATGCTTGATCATACCAACACAGGACCCTCCGCCATCAAGCTCCTCAATGGTCGTTGCCGCAACCAACCTGCAGAGCGCATCTCTAAAGTTGATTGTTATGCGCATTCCATCATGTTCAATCCAGGGAACAACCAGGTCCGCCCTTTGTATGTGTACACGGATACATGGTGTTCATCGGGACAGTTCTTCAATAATGGAAGGATGGTGCAGACTGGAGGTGATTTTGAGGGCAACAGGAAAATCAGGACCCTACAACCATGCGGCGCTGGAGGTAATTGTGACTGGGTTGAACTCGAAGAGAACCTTGTAACTGGCTGTTGGTATTCCTCTAACCAGCTTTTGCCTTCTGGTATTCAGCAGATCATTGTAGGAGGACGCAACACGCCTTCCTACGAGTTTTATCCCAAGAGGAGAGCCGGAGAAGGCTTCTACAACTTGGGTATGCTGGGAGGAGATAACAATCTTTACCCATTTGTGTATCTGTTGCCGAACGGAGATCTTTTCGTTTTTGCAAACAGGAATTCCGTGCAGTTGAACTGAAACTCGGGCAAGGTCGTGAAGGGATATCCTCAAATTCTTGGAAACCCCCGTAACTATCTTTTTGCTGGATCTGCTGTCATGCTTCCCTTGACATGGCAGATAGGTTTCGAGTTTGCACAGATTATGGTATGTGGAGGTGCAGCCGCCGGTGCCTCGAATACTGGAAATGCGAACGCCCCAATGTCGTTCAGTTGTGGGACAATCGTGGCTAGCTCCAAAAACCCCGTCTAGGCTGTGCAGAATATGCCAATTCGGCGTGTTATGGGCGACATGATCAACTTGCCAACCTGAGATATTTTGATCATCAACGGTGCCTAAAACGGCTATCAGGGATGGGGAAAGGCCAACAACCCCGCCTTGAATCCAGTGAACTACAACCCCGTGACCAAGCAGTTCCAGATCTATGCAAAGACCAATATTCTCCGCATGTATCATTCCACTGCAAACTTACTGGCTGACGAAAGAGTGCTCCTAGTCAGAAGCAAAACCCACCAGTTCTACACGTACAATAGATAATACCCTACTAAGCTGCAAGTTGAGGCGTTCTCTCCTCCTTACTTGGGTGCAGGGTGAGTCTCTGATCTCAACGTTCCACATTTGTTTATTATCCTTTCTCATTCATTGTCCGGTTATGCAAAATGATTGCAGCGTGCACGTTTAGCTAACTTGACGGACTGTTTGATGATGATGCTCAGATTCAATGGTGTAAGGCTTGCCATCCAAGGATATCTCAATCGGATCAAATATAAGCAGGTGTTCGTCGTGAACTTCGCTATGGGCCAAAGAGTGGGCGTAGTGGAGGTGAACATGAACAGCGCTCCCTACGTGACGCACTCCTTTGCGCAGGGTCAAAGGCAAATGAAACTGAAGACGATGTTGCCTACCAAGGCGGGCAATGGCTGAGCAGTGCAGGTGACCGCAGTCCCCGAAAATACCATTGCCCCTCCCGCATACTACCTTCTGTTTGTGGTCCAAAACGAAATTCCCTCCAAGGGTGTGTGGATCAAGTAGAACAATTAACTGCGCCCTCGTGACGACTGCCACAGTCAAGTTAAACCTCGGTGTAGAACATTGAGCTGGTGAATAGGTCGATCGAAGTATTATTTCTCTGTGTCAGTCCTTCCAGGACTTGCACTTGTTACTGGGAGTTGTACAATCGCGATGTAGACGTCTAGATAGAGTTACGAGTGTGT